GGGGTTGCTGTTATCCCGAGCTGCAGGTTGCCATGGTGGCCACTGCCACCTGGCAGGGCCTCTGCTTTGCACCCTGGCCCGGGCTTTGGCCTGGCTGCCAGCCAGCTCCACACACAGCATCCGGGGGCGGGTGATGCCAGAGGCCTCGGGAATGGGCAGCGTTTGCACTCAGGGCAGCAGCTGGAGGGGATGGGGCGGGTGGCAATTTGGCAGCACCGCGCGGGGACCCCAGCCGTGCCTTGCAACCAGAGCTCAGAAGCAGGGGGCATGGGAGGACCCTGGCCCAGGGGAGAGCATCCACCTTACCTCTCACCCCAGCATGCTGGCACCCCCCCAGAGCTGCTGTTTTGGAGAAGCTGCTCTCCCTGCCCTGGCTTTTTCCTGTGAAATCTCTGGCTGCTGCTGGTGGCTGTGGGGTGGGAGCTGGGGCTGGCGGCTGCTGCCCTGGGCTGGAGGGAGATGCCAGGAGGTGACAAGAGCTCTCCAGGTGACTGAGCAAAACAGTCCCGTCTGGCTGCAACGATGCCCGGGGGCTGCGCATTGTGCAGACACCAGCTTGATCTGCTCTGCAAGCGGGCAAGGATAGGGCCACCAGCCTCGGGGTGTGGGCTGCATGGAGCTGTGCTCAGCGGGGCTGGAGCCAGGCAGCCTCGTGGTGTCCCAGGGGGACAGAGGGGTGGCACCTGCTGCCCCATGTGCTCAGGGTGTCTCCAGGCATGGCTGCCTGGGGCTGCAGCTGGGCCCCGCGTGTCCGTGTCCCTGGGGCCGGGGTTCTGCCCCGGGGTGGCAGGGGCTGCCACCGCCTGTGCCCTGCAGACATCATGGCGGACAAGGAGGGGGTGACGCTGTCGCTGGAGGAGGAGGATGGCGACGTGGCCCTGGCGTACAGGACGCCGGAGAAGAAGAGCCTGCAGGAGATCCAGCAGCTGGACCCGGACGACGAGAGCCTGCGGAAGTACAAGCAGGCGCTGCTGGGGGCCATTCCCATGGCTGTGGGTAAGGCCGGCAGCGCCGCCGGCGCCCGGGCATGAAGCTGCGGCTGCGGCC